TATCCTCGACGGATCCATTCTCGACCTATTCAAACTCTCAAAGACTGAAGAAAGAGATTTATTTTGATTTTTATCATACATGTTATTAGAAATATATGTATATCTCTCTAGTTTTAATATTAGCGAATTTCTGCTTTTTCTTCGACGTATTGTCTCGATATAATCGTGTATATATATATATATATATATATATATATATGATGTGTAACTGAATGTAGTTGTGTGCGCGCGTTTCTTGGCGTGCGCAACACGAACCCGCATGCCGGTTCATCATGTAAAATACTTACTTCATTATTCTTAATTTTTTCCATTCTTTATTGTTATATATATGTACATAGATACTATAAGTAATATAGTAAATTATTGAGGTAAAATATTAACTGGTTTATATTTTTTAATTATTTTTTTAATTATTATTTTCTTATGTTTAAAACAATATCAAATAATTCAATTAATGTATAGGTCATAATCCATTTGGTGTCATCTGTGAACAAATTTAATAATTACAATCATATGCAGTGGAAATTACGTTCGATAACAAATGATTGATAAAATATATCTATTACCACGAATAATTGCAATAATTTATTGATTTAACAATAAATTAATATTCTTTGGTGGTTCTTATTTCTTTTAATAAATATCTTATTAATATAATATATATAATATATATAAAGAATAAATAAAATATTAATTATAATTATATATATCTTACGAGTACTTGATAATTGATTAAAAAATTATAGATATATAAATTATATTATTATTGTTTTCTAAAAAATATGCAATATTATTTAATAATTACTAATTATTAATTTTTTCTATGATGTATATAATTATTCTTATTAAATTGAATTTAAAAACAAATCATGTATTTAATAAAAATCATACATTTGCTATTCATAAATTTAAAAGAAAAATAAAAGAAAAAGAAAATAAAAATTAATTTTAATTTTTTTTTTAAATTAATTTCTCTAGTATACATATATATAACACAAATTGTACAAGTAATTCATTTAGATTACTATTATTTTGTATAAATGACGAAAGAACGAGTAGTCAATACGATAATGATTTTGATTTTTTGTTTGGAAATATTATCCGGCGTCGGTAAATCCTTGGAACATGATCAATACATGGTGTGTTACTTCCGCGTTTGTCCGTTCCGCGTAAAAGGGTTGTCATTCGCGATGACTACTCTTTCAGTTTGTATATGTTCAGCCAACGAGAAACTTTTGGATTTTCTATTTCGTTTAACGATTGTGAGTAACGTACAATGACTAATGCATAATCTAGAAATAAATATTAAACGTTAATATTAAGGAAAATATAATAAAAAGTATTGAACAAAAATAAAGAATACAATAAATATATATTTACAAACTATTTGTTTCTTTATATTCTCATAAAAATCATATCTTTACAAATATTTATAAATATTTGTTAGAAATGGATGCTTGAAAAATTTATTTTTTATTCATAAAATATTCGAAATATTTTTTTAATTATTTCAAATATATTTGAAATAATATACTTAATTTTATGTATAAATAAGATTTTTTAAGTATTTAATAATCTTGAAATATATAATATATTGTCATATATAATACAAACAAACAAATTAAATCAGATTTCATTTCAATTTTATCTATTAAAATATTATTTTTATAGTTATCTATATTTTCGAATAAATTTTATTATCATATTGCTTTATATATTTCGATATATATTACATAGTCTGAGGAACGTTTTCATAATCGGTTCATTGATCACTGAAAAGCTTCGAAGCAGCTCGTGTATGTATTGGTTTATTAGAGCGTGATTGAACACAAGGGCGGATTCTACGAAAATGGCATGTACCTTCTTGCATCCCATTTTACATTTTTATACTTTTAACGTTCAATTTTCATTAATTTTTTTTTTTTTTTTTTTGCTAATATTTTGCTAATAACGATGATTTATAACACATATTTTGTACAAAATCAATTGTTTTTATCGAATTTTTTTTTTTCATTATAAATTTAAAAATAAAGTTAGATTGTAACTTAAAATAAAATCAGATATAATAATATAAAGTTTATAATTAATAAAGTTTATAAATAAACAATAAAGCATATATACGGCATAAATTGATTATACATTTTTAATAAATTTTTTTTTCTTTTTCAAAAAAAAAAAAAATAAAACATATATATAAAACTTATCAAAAGCATTTGTATGCGTATTTAATACGAAAGTTTTTTATAAGTATGACGTTAAAATTTTTTTGATAAAAATAAAAACATTCTTTAAAAATATGTTTATATCTGTGTTTGTCATAATTTCAAACTCTCGATAAAATTTTGCATAAATATTTAAAAAATATATTTTATATATATTGTTATATTTATGTGATTAATTGCAAATTTTTACACTTTTTTACATTTCTGAGAAAAAAAGTAAAAGATTTAAATTGTAAATATGTGAGATATTTAAAATAAGATTCGTGATATGATATGATATATTTAATAAATTTAATATAATAAAATTCAATAAATTCATTAGTATAATAATGAATTTTGATTAAAATTTTATTTTTTTTTATTTATAAAAAAAATATGATTTTACAAATATCTTTAAGTTATGAAATAATTTCGTAACTTTTTACTCAATTTTAATTTCTGTTTTACACATATTGTTATCCGATAACATAAATCTTTCTTATCAGCGATCATATCTTTATGATGGAATAAAAATTTTTATTAACTTAATTTTATCGACTATTTTATATGCTTTTGATTTAAATAAAATATTTTTCTAAAAATATGTATATACCATAAATTAGAAAAACATGAAATTGAAAAAACAAAATATTTACTTTTGTTTTTAATATTATAATGTCATCATCTTTCGTGTTAATAAAAATTTTAACGAAATATTATTGCTAGCTGTTCGATCGATAAAAAAATGATCAATAAAATTGAAAAAAAGGAAGTAAAAAAGTAAAATAATTAAATATCAAATAAAAATTATTTAGGCCGCCTTAAATAAGTATTTTATCGAATACAAAAAAATATTGAATTGAATTCCTTTTGCTTTTCATTTCTTCTTTTCTCTTTTCATTTCTATTTTTTTTATTTTTTTTCTTTTTTTTTTTTTTTCCATCATCGCTTCAAACACTCATAAATGTATGCAGCTGTTCAAGATTATTTGCTGTTGGTGCATAATTAGCGTTTCAACTTAAGTAAATTGACATTAACGAACATATATGCAAATCTGTATTTCGCGCGAAATAAAAAATTTTCGATTTTTATTATTATTAGGGAAAACACTGAAATCGATTATATATACCGAGAAAGAATTATTATTTTTCTTAAAGCGGAAAAAAGTTTTCGATTCTGATCTATCTTCAGAGAAAATAAAATATCAAAATCACGATATATCGGAATAAAAACCATTATTATTTTTAAAAAAATTTTTTTTAATAAGAATATTTAATATTTATTATTCGAGAGAATAACCAAAAATTGTTTCCAAAAAAGTTTCCAAGAATTTTTTATTTTCATTCTTTTTAATTTTTAAGGCCTCTATAAAGAATAATTTGATTTTTCTATATTTACAAACATATATACATATATATATCGTGATGTGATTTTTTTTTCGTAAAATCTATTTTATTGTTTTATATGTTGATCTCCTCGTGATTTTAAACATTTTTTAGATATATATGGAATGCTAAGTTTTAGAAAGAACCATAGGGGATCTGATTCTGGTTAAACTTTTACGCAGATTTCGAAACCTTGGGGCGCTAAGGTATTCATATTAATTAGTTTAATAATTATATAAAAAAAAAAAACATGTACTTACAAACAAGTGGTAAGACAAGGCTTCTTTATTATCCTTCTAGATCGTAATCGATCGTCCTTGTACAAACCAAGATGATCGTAAAACAAGCTAATAGGAGCCACCTGGGACACTTTCAATAACCTTGTTTCGAAATTGAGCAAGCTCATTCTCAAATACGCGGCACCGCTTATTAGTAAGGAAAAGTGCCACTCTGGTAGAAGTATGATCGATGTCCACATAGACAAATATGGGTCATGATGTAAAAACTGACTTGTCGTAGCTCGAATAATATTTGCTTGTGCGCATTTTCTTCAAAGTTATTGACGATCTAAATTCACAATTAACACAATTATTTCATTATTTCGTTAATTACAATGAAGGAGGAGCATAAGATGAGAACGAAATAATGAATTAAAGAAATACGAAGATTGCAAAAAAGATATGAAGAATAATGTCATGAATAAATAATATTATGTTAATATATAATTATAATGTTAAATATATGTCAAGTTTTATTATAAAAATAATTATAATATTAAATATATGTTAATATATAATAAATTTTATGACTTTTGTTCCTTGTGTCTTTTTTATTCCTGAAATCTCAATAACCAATAAACTTATACATATTTCAATAAATTATTTTCTCAAATTATATCTCTCTAATATTAGATTAGAAGTATTAAATAAATTTATTGAAATAATTCTCTATTTTTAGATATATTTTAATAATATAATAGATATATTTTAATAATATATATAATATTGGAAAATTTAGATTGTATATATTCTAGCTAGAATTTTTCTCGAAATATTTTGTTTTAATTTCTATTTTTTTAGATTCCTTTTGTTTCTTTTTTTTTTATGAAAAATATATTAATAAATTATATTATATGTAATAAATATATAAATATATATAATAAATATATATACAATTAATATATAAATATATATATAAAATATATATATATTATTTTGAATATTATGAAAATTATTCATTTGACGTCAGAACCGATCCCAGGAATCCTCATAATCTTCAAACTTTATGCTTACTTTTTATTATCGCAAAATTTTCTTATCATATCATTCATAAATTATTTTTTATTACTTTATAAATGTCTACAGAAAAAATTAAAATTCTTAAATTAATCTTTGCTCAAAATATTATGATATTTTTATATTCTTATAATATTTAGATATTACATTTACTTGAAGATTAAAAAAACTTAAAACAATCATTGATATGTATACAGAATGTTGATACAATTGGATAAAAATTTTAAAAAAATGATTCTATAAAAATGAAATAAAAATATGAAATAAAATTTTGTCAATAAATTTTTTGAATAAACAAGTTCGAGAAAATGTCAAGTACAACTAGTAAAACAAGTTTGAAAAATTATCAAGTACAATTAAGTGGCTATTTCTTCGATTAGATACGAATGAACTATCGATAGTTGATTACTTTAAATGTGTTTAAATAACCAAAAGATACATGGATTACATTTTTTTTCATTTAAAAATTTTCGAAAAATTTGAAAATTTATTAATTACTTCTTGATTGTTATCGTATATTTAATCTTAATTTTCTCAAAAAACAAAAACTTTTAAGCGATAAAACTTTGTTCTATGTTTATTTATTTTTATTATGTAATCGTATAATCAGGTATAATCATTTGTTTACTGTATCTAATTGAAAAATAATTAAGTTTTAATTTGTATTTAAATGTTTTCAAATTTGGAAACTTGATAAAATTCTTTGTTTCTGATTCATTTTTTTTTTTTACGTAAAATCAGTTTTTGCTCGATTGCACTATCACTTACAAGACATTCCATGTATACATTGATATTTAATATATTATATATAATATATTAATTATACAATAATATTAAGAAAATAAAGGATCCAGATATATTAATTAATTGATTAAAAATTAGAAATTGTATGCAATGAATTCATCATTTATATCCAAAAGATTTTTGTTAAGAAATTCCATAAATAATTAAAATAATTAACGAGAGATTAAAAAAGCGTAAATATCTTTTTTATTTCGATTGAAAATTGGAATCAAGAAATGTCGAATTTTTAAAGCAAGAGATATGCAATCGGTACGTTATCTTCAAGTGTTCACAAGTAATAGCATAAATCAAGCAAACCACATAGGTGAATTATAATAGTAGTAGTTTTAATTCTACTGTGCTCACACATTCAATGCTCAGATAACCGATAACATTTTCATACTTTCTTCAGTATCGATTCTATCAATCAGTCGTGCGTATTCATATAATCGCGATAATAAGAAATTTTATATCGTTAAATAAAAAAAGAAAAAAATAATAAAGAAATAGAGATAGAGGAAATAAAGATAGAGGAAGAAAAAGAAAAATTTTTTTTTATCAATTCATTACATAAAATTGTTAGAAACTTAATAAGTGAACATTGTGTTATTATATAATATTTATCACATTGAAAATCTTGAAATTAATTTAATATAGAACATAAATTGAGTTAGTTTTTTTATCAATTAATTTATTGTAAAAAAAAAGTGTATGAAATAATCCGAATAATACATTTTTTTTTTTTATCGAAAAATTGTATCGAATAATTCAACAATCAGTTATTATTTTCCAATTTTTTATTTTCAATTTAATATTCTTTTTAATAATAATCTTCCTGTATCTTCAAAGAATTCAATAATTATCCGGAATTTCCAGTTTTTTCTCAAGTTGTTTATTTTAAATCATTGACACATCTGCAATCAATCTTTTCTTAGAAATTTTTCCAAAAAAATTTTGTAAGATTGAACAACAAAGTCATAGTTTTTACCAAATTTCATCAGAAATTACACGTAAACATCTCATTTGAAATATTTATATCGAAACAAGTTTCAAAAACAAGATATCATTTATGTATATGTTTCTACATAAAAGGTTCATTAGCAGCGTTTTTCGTAACATCTAACTTCAAACTTTGATCGAATAATATTTTCGGTATACGTGTTGTATATATATTTTGGTACAAGTTCGTAGATAATATATACGCACATTGCCTATCGACATTCATTTCGAATACGACCGTCGATCGTATAATGTCAATCAATTTTTCCTTTTCATTTCGTGTTATACCGTGTTCAACAATAATTCAATATTCAACATATTAGCCTGTTTAAATTAACGAACTTTATCGAAGAAAAAAAAAAAGGCTTAATTAAGATTGAACAATGAAGATAAAGGAGAAAAAAAATTCTTGATCCATTAGACGAATATATAGGGTGTCTTGGTTCAAATGATTAATATTTGAAAACATCTTTTTTTTTTTTTTTTTTTTGGAAACATGATATACTTGGAAAGAAAATCTTAAAGAATGAAAAAGAAAAAAACTGTTATTCTTTTTTTATTTTTATTATATATCAATTGTCTCCTTGTTCCATTATTTCTAGAGATGATTCTAAAGTTTAAGTTAAATATAAAAGTTACAATACGATATAAATTTCCATAAATTATCGAATTGCACATTTCATACCTTTGACACGAGGGGGATAATATAGTCTTAGTTACGACTGTGTTAATGGACATGATCATTTTAACTTTTTCATTTACAATCTCTCTGTATTATGTCTCATACATGTCTCATACATTGAAGTGATTATGTAGATGAAATGCTGTTGCACTTCGCCCTTGATCATTGCAAACAAAAGCACATGTCAATCTGCGTGATTGCATAAAAATTCTCATGCAAAAAGGAATAATATAGTATTTTGTCTTAAAATATTTTTGTTCATCCGTTGTAGACTTTGTTCTGCGAAATTTATTATTTATACGAATTTTTGCAAATATATTTCATCGACAAAAGATAAAAATAGAATAATTCTTGACCGCAAATATAAAAAAAAAAATTTTATATCAATCAAATTATAAATATTTTGTCTAATAACATTATTTATATGTATATAAAAAAAAGGTTATAACACATATAAAGATTATATGTGTTAATTGTTTATTATGTGTTTAATTATACACATTATATATAATTATATATAATTATATATAATTATACACTATATATATAATAAATTATTGCATACTAAATCAAATGATTGACTATTTAAAAACTGGAAACATAAAGGAAATATAAAAAAATATTTTCAAATAAATAAGATAATTTATAAGATAATAAGATAACTTATAAAAATTTAAAAAAATTTTATTCTGAATAAGAAATATTCATATTATTCGTCAAATTTAACACATTTACAATTTTTGATGTAAATGAAATACACGTCATTTAAAATATTATTTCTCATCTTTTCACAATCAATTTCCATTTATTTATATTTATTATATTCCTTTTTCAATTTACTCTTTTCTAGATTAATAATCTCCTTTTCGCAAATTTAGAGCTAGAGATTATTTATTCCGATATTTAGCTTATAGCTTTTAATTTTCACGACGATAGAAAATATCCTTGATCCATGGAGAATCGGATAATGTTCGCAAAGGGTTAATAATAAACATAGGAACTGCTTCAATCAATGATATTTTCACTCACGACCAACTTTCTGCGTGTTATGGTTAGGGTAAAAGGGATCAAGGTATCGAACATAACGGCAAACATTTCAAAACAATTTGAACATGCAATGTACTCTATAAATATCCATCGCATAACTTTGTAAGAACATAGACTTGCCTTGAATATAAAGTAATTTCTTTTGATTTTTTTTTTTTTTTTTTAATTATATTTTATATCAATCATTATTAAAATATGACTATATATATATACACACTGGATGATAATATGATTACCGCATCTCATATATTTAACATTTCTCTATCGAGTTTTGATATCAAAGATAAATCTTTAAGATATCGAAAGAAAAAAGGTTAATGTGTATCATTGGCATTATTTTCATTATTTATATTAACTTTGATATAAGATATGATGAGAATGAAATTTGTAAAATTTTTATCGATATTATGTGCATTTTATCAGAAAATGTTAAACGAAAGTCATCATCACTAGAGGATTTATCTTGATCATGAATCTTATCGATATGTTTTTTTAATCTTGATTATCTTTCTCTTTCATTCATTTTAAAGTAAATTTTATTTTAATAATTTTATTTTAGTCTTGGACATCCACTTATTCCAATATTTTCCTTGTATTACTCGATGGTGATTATCGATGGTGAATATGAACACGAAGAGAACATCAGAGCTTCTTGTTGGCTAAACTATAACATAGTTACACTCTTAGAATCGCTGTTGTTCTTAAAGAGTAAAAACCACCACTCGAATCTAAATATTTTTATAACACATTTATGATTCCACTTATTGACAATACAATAGTCTTGGAAATGAATCAACACGATGCGTATCTTGACACGTTTCTTTTATAGAGGAGTCGATGTTAATAAACATTTTTTCCTATTTATATCCTTGTAAAAAGA